ACACGGAAACAGGACCCCCCTGCCCCTCTGTAATGCAGACAGCTTTGCACTAAAACCCAGGGAGGTCAAGGCTAGTGCCTAGACCTGGGCTACGGTAAGTGCGACAGTAAGGCTCCGTTTAGGGGTAAAGTTTGGGTTGGCATTAGTGTTACGGTTGGGATTAAAACACAAGAACAAGTATTATTCCTTGAATTTTGGGCCAGAGCATATATTGAGTGGACAAGGAGGTTTGTATTCGTGTCTTAGTGCAGAAGAAGTGGAGCGGATATTTGACCAGGTTTATCTTTAATATACCGAGCAATCCAACAAGTCCTAGAAGTGGTGAAAGCGCTGTGCACGCTACATCTTATTTCGACACCAATCGAATGCTCATTTTGAATAGTTTTCGGCAAAAAACGCGAGTCGTCTTTCAGTGTTGAGTACGAAATTGTTAATCGATTATCAGATGCATTACGTATAGGCTCACTGACCCGAAAGTGATAGGAACGAGCAGGCGAATCCCAGGAAGTCGTTCAGAAGTAGAAGATGCTATCGCCGGAAGCAGAAGTTTATTTACCGAAAGCTTCAAATTTTGCCTTGAACCCATCGTCAGGGATAACGGCATTCTGATGAAGATTTCAAGTTAGCATCCGAAACTTCAGGCAAATAATCTCCTTCCAGCAATCGCATCTTCCTCTTCCGTTTTATATCTGCTAATGGTCAGAATTTTCTCTAAACTGTCTTGACAGTCCGTTGAGTGACAGTAGCCTGAAAGTTGCCCCCTGTATTTTTGGGAATTACATACTATGGTATTTGCAAAAGTACAGACACAATAGCGTGTTGACGACTGAGGTTCTGCAATTTTCTGAGGCCTGTGATATGTCTGAGCATTGACTTGACGTTTGTGAAGAGGTTGGTATTGCAGATTTCCTCATATTGTTGCTGATGGCTTTTGCAGACACTATAGGTGAATATGGGATAACTGCGCCAAGGTTGACTTCTCTTAAGCCGTTAGTAAGTGGATCTTGGCGACCTTATATCGGCAGGTCCAGCTTCCCTATCAAGACCTCTATAATCACGTTTCAAGAAGAACCTAAGGTTCAAAATTAGAGTTGATCACCCACCCAATCCGGGATCCATCGAGTTGAGACTCTAGAATTCAGGCTGGTTTCATGTCGGATGAACATTCATGGAGAAGCTGCATGTTGAATGACTATATGTGTTTCGGAAGTGTTTAATGGTTTGTGTGTACTCAGTATCTAAGTTCAATTTTAATGTTTTTTGTTGTTGTAGAAAATCAGCCGTGATCAAGAACCTTGCTTTGCGCCCTCGGCACCCTCGTCATGTCACTCGAGCACATGTCCAGTGTCGGCTGCTGCAGGCTGCTAGAACTTACTCCACTGACACTGACCTCTTACATGACCCAGTTCAATCGAAATGTCAAATGTTCGTCTCGTTGACAATTGAAGTCAAAATTTAAATTAACCATTATTTCTCATACCCTCACGGAGCTACACAAAGTTATTCATTCTCCGTCCATGTCATTGAGTAAACAGGTATTCAGGAGCATTCCTCTACCGGAGTCAATGGTCACAAACCCAGCGACATGGAGCGTGCAATGAACTTCGATCTAACTTCGAAACATTCCGTATATGAATTTGATCTCCGAGGCCGCGGCCAGATCCCTCGCTCAACTCCGAATGGGAGTTCGGTAATTTGGACCTAGATGCCCCCTCCAGGAATCTTTGCCCCTCATTTATTATTTGGGTGGGACGTTCCGATCCCAGTGTCCTGTTTAATGGGCAATATAAGTAATCCTTACCGGGAGCTGCTCGTAGGCTCGAATCGGAAATTCCTGGCTAGTGGTGGAAGTTATAACCCCGGCCCCCTCCCCCCTGCTGTGAAACATACGGTGGGAATTATCGGTAAGGACGGTGGAAATGCCAAGTGCAGTGTTAGCACTTCTATTCCAGTAGTTCTACCCAGTTACTTTTTGGTCTTGCAGTTGCAGTTGCGAAAAAGATGTATATAAACACGAGAGAAGCGTTTTAAAAATGCGCCTTCGCTCTCTCGACCTGCACTACTTTTCGTGTTCGGGAGATAGGTCATTAAAGGGATGCGTGCTCTTCAAACATGTTTCACATACTGTCCATGTCCACAGAATTGCGTCTCTCCAGTATAGAACAGTCAGATAAGAGGACGCACAAGTTTTTA